TGTGGGAAGAGATTATATGTTCCTTAATGGAGCCCTGTTGTTTATGCATCGTTAAACGCCTAGAAAGAGATGTTGTTGTCTTGCCTATATACTGGGTTTTTTGGAGCTTACAGTCCCCAAGTGGGCATTTGAAGGCACAGGTGACGTTGGTCTCTTTTAAAGCGTTCTGCTTTGTGTCTGGAGAGTTTCTCATGAGTAGGCTGGCCGTTTTTCTGGTTTTATAGTAAATCGTCAGTTGTATCCTCTGATTTTTGTCTGTAGGGATAACGTTTCTATTAACAATATCTTTCAGGACCCTTTCCTCTGTTTTATGAGCTGTGGAAAAGAAGTTCCTGTAAAATAGTCTAATAGGGGGTATAGGTGTTGTGTTAGTTGTCTCTTCAGAGGTTGCATGGCGTTTCACTTTCCTTCTTATGATGTCTTCGACGAAACCATTGGAGAAGCCGTTGTTGACTAGGACCTGCCTTACCCTACAGAGTTCTTCGTCGACTTGCTTCCATTCTGAGCTGTGGCTTAGAGCACGGTCGACATATGCGTTAACAACACCGTGTCGACCGTGCTCTAAGCCACAGCTCAGAATGGAAGCAAGTCGACGAAGAACTCTGTAGGGTAAGGCAGGTCCTAGTCAACAACGGCTTCTCCAATGGTTTCGTCGAAGACATCATAAGAAGGAAAGTGAAACGCCATGCAACCTCTGAAGAGACAACTAACACAACACCTATACCCCCTATTAGACTATTTTACAGGAACTTCTTTTCCACAGCTCATAAAACAGAGGAAAGGGTCCTGAAAGATATTGTTAATAGAAACCTATCCCTACAGATAAAAATCAGAGGATACAACTGACGATTTACTATAAAACCAGATAAACGGCCAGCCTACTCATGAGAAACTCTCCAGACACAAAGCAGAACGCTTTAAGCTTTGTTAATCTTTCTTCATATGAAAGATTTCTAATTTGGGGAATTAACTTAGTCATCAAAAAAAAAAATCCTACGTTGGACACGTTCAAGTGAATTTATATCCATTCTATAGTACGGCGACCAAAATCATCACCAAAAAACTCTCACATCTCAACAAAGCCTACCTTCACCAGGGAATAGCTGAAGGTTCGCCATCTGCAACATGGTATCTTCAGGCAACCAAATTAGAAAGGTTAAATATCCCAAAAGGAATCCACAGGGAAATAGCAGTTAGGTTATATAGACTACGTCTAGGTTACAGATGCAACTGGGAGATCGGTGAACCCCGACAGAGAGAGTGCATCTTCTGCCAAACTGTCACAGAAAAGCCATTACTTCACTATCTTCTGGAATGTGAAGCAACCAATGACCTTAGAAGAGCTTTAGGAGTTCCTGAATCATGCAGTGGCCACCCTGAAGCCATCAACACAGCCACTCTCCTGGTCAACAAAGGTGTTCAGCAGCTGGACACCCTCATAAAGACTGTGAAGCAGTATCCTCCCCCGCGATAACAGCTTGATGGTTAAATGTAACCTCAGAATACTGAGAAAAAAAAATTGTACCACTTACGGGCTATTCATGCCCGTGCCACCTCTTGGGTGGCTTAATCTTCATCAATCAATGAATCGTCCGGGCCGTAGTTCGCTCTCTCAAGTAAGTGACTTCAGCATTAAAATTGATGTGTGTGTCCAGGATTATTCCTAGATACTGATAAGTGTCTTTGGTATTCGTGCTTCAGTTTCAAGTGCTTTGGGCCTCAGAATATATTCGCCTCTGAGGTTGAGCTTAGCACTGATCTTGAGCTGGGGGAACTCTTTCTCAAGGTCCAGTACTGTGGCGTACGAGGACTTACCTTCAGCATGCTGCACCTTGAAGACTGACAGTGAGGATTTTGTCTGTGTAGTTGGAGTGCTTACCGGTAGAGGTTCCGACTGCCGTCGCTTAATACACTCCTTCGGTGGTTCATCACTGTCAGTATTACTTAACTCTCTGCGCACAGTTTTCCGGTTGTTTCTCCTGGTCTTTGCTACGTAAACAGGTCTGGAATCTCCTTCATCCTCCATCAAACTCACTGGTTCACAACTTTCTAGATGGCTCCAACGCTCCCTTCCTCGACCACGGCTGGATCACTGTGGGGGGATTAATCTGATCGCCGAAGCTTCATTTATCTTTGAAATTCTATCCCCAATTAACTGTAATTTCAATAATATCATCATTATCTCAGTAATAGTATTTCTTGGGTCATATAACTATATAACTATTGTATAAATAATATATAATAGTAATTATATATTATTTATATAATAGTATAATCTTGGGATTATTCTCATGGCTTCATAATGTACCTTCTCCAACTTGTTTAGTCTACCTTTACCTTTTGATAAACGAAATACATGACAGGAGCAGCATAACCAATAAGACGTCTCACAGTATGCCACGTGATTACTATTGGAATATGATATGTAAAATATGATAAATGTGTAGTGTATGGGTTTGTACGCCCCTTGAGGGACCTTATATAGACGAGGGTAGAAATAGCCTAAGCTACTTTATCCTATTGAGATGTACTTCTTTTTCTTAATAAACTACTTAATAAAAACAGCCATATAGTTTTAGTCCTCACTATGATCCTGAAAAATTCTAGCAGGTTAATCTCCAAATGTCAGGACATAATGTTACCCAATCTATAGTACCCACTGGGCATCCAAAATGTAGTTGATATATTTTTCACAAGGTACATTTCACGTGCGCTAATGTTATTAATATTTGTAAAATATATTTTAATACTCCAATCTTATATATTACAATTTTTAAAGTTATCTAATATCTAAGACTTTGTTTAAAGCTCTGTTGAAAAATGTAGATTGTTAAAAACATTTTAAGTAAATTTTATTATTTGATTGAAAGCAAAACATGAAATCACAAATATTTAATTGAAAAATTGTAAATTACCAAAAAAAAATTCTTCCTTTATGGTAGACTAAAGCGAATCGCGTTATTGGTCGCTGATCATCGTTTTCTTTATCCGTGGCGAGGCTTGGGCGTCCACCTCAAACTTCGGTAATTTTCCCAAAGACATAATTATGATTAAATGCTGGATGCGGCGATAGATAAAGGCTCGTTGACTTGATGCTCCACATCTTTTTTTTTCTTTTTTCTTTTTTTGAGATATATACAAGAGTTGTTACATTCTTGTACAGCCACTAGTACGCGTAGCGTTTCGGGCAAGTCCTTAATCCTATGGTCCCTGGAATACGATCCCCTGCCGCGAAGAATCGTTGTTGTTGTTGTTAAAGATTTAGGTATTCAGGACGAAGTGCCCATGTAGCACGGGCTATGGTGAGCCCGTAATTGAGTTTGGTTATACATGATAACCTTTTTCCTGTGATATTTAGGTCTAAGTTTAAAATGGAGGAGAGGACTTCTCCTTTTTCCCTGCTTATTTGTCGCTTCTGTTTTATTCCACTGGTTTTAATCTTGTTTTATTAACATTATCTTGGTGGCGGATGTAGATGCAGAATGCTCACTAATGAGTCCCATTCCTCAACAGCTTTTCTAATCATTGTAGTCGCGGTGGAATGGGCATCTAATGCAGCTGCTGTCGTTGGATTAATGTTGAGTTTGATGCGCAGGGCTTCAGTAGCTTCACATTCCAGTAAGTAGTACAATAGTGGCGCCTCTGCCTCAGTTTCACAGATGTGACACTCTTTAACTATTGGGTTCATTACCTCCCAGCAGCACTTGTACCCAAGTCTGAGTCTGTGTATGGCTACTGCAATGTCTCTGGATATCTTTTTGCCAGGCTTGAAAGAGGAGTAACCAGTGGCTTAATTGTTCATACCATATCGCAGTGGATCTTCCTTCCGCTACTTTGGCTCTGTGGCGACTTTTGATAGTTGAGAATATTTTCTTCTTGATTTGCTCCTTTATCTGTGAGAAAATTGGTATTTGAACCTGTACAACAGGTAGAGCAGTGGCAGTTTTTGCTAGTGAGTCTGCCTTTTCATTACCATCTATGCCAATGTGACTTAGTATCCAATTTAGGGTGATTGACAGCCCTCGATTATGGGCATCTTTTCCTATATGTTGAATTTCTGTGAGGAGTTGTATATTATCTCTGTGTTGACTGGATAACAATGCCTGGAGCGAAGATTTAGTCTGTATGAATGATGACATCATATAAATTATTCTCAATTGTATAGTTTATTGCCTCCTTCAGGGCATATAATTCTGTTTGCAATGTTGAGCACCCACTATTCATGCTCCAGTAAGCTTCATGGTTGGTAGTGTAAACTGCTGCCCCAGCAGAACCTTTTTCTTGATCAACTGATCCGTCTGTGAAGATGTGAGTCGTTGTGGGTCTAGAGATGGTTTCCATTTGTTGCTCTATTACTTCCTTGAGCCTCTGCGGGTCACATGCTGATTTTAACTGGTAATCTTTCAATGATTATCTTTAGAGTCGAGTCTTCCCATGGAGGAGGCTGTCGAAAGTGTTGATATGGTCTATCTTCCCCTTTGTTTTTAATGGTCCATTTCATGTCCATTTTCTCTAAAATCTTGACCACATTATCCATCCATGAGCTTGTTCTATACTGTAGGTTTTTCTGAAAGGATCTCTGTATGCTGTCTTTGATTGACAGCCTGGCGGAATCGTTTTTTCATCCAAGTACACATTTTACTGCTGCGTTAAACAGAGGCTACAGTTAAGGATTTGCGCCCAGTAAATCCTCCCCGGCCAGGATACGAACCCATGACATAGCTGACCCATGACCCATCACATCTCTCTGCTGACACCACATAGTTCAGCTTTTCGAGATGATCAAGGGCTATATGTAAGGGATAGTAGAGGACAATGATTTTTCTTATTTTATCCTCTGGCTTGAGTTCCTCACATTTTCTGTAATTTTTCAGAATCGTTACGGTTGACTCGTCTTTGGGGCCTCAGAATATATTCTCCTCTGACGTTTGGGTTTACTCCGATCTGGAGCTGAGGGAACTCTTTGTCAAGGTCCACTACAGTGGCGTAGGAAGACTTACCTTCGTTATGCTGGACCTTGAAGACTGGCAGTGCAGATTTAGTCTGAGGAGCTGGAGTGCTTGTTGGTAGATGGGTCGTCATGGAGTGGTTTACCTGTTTGCTTTAGTCACAGGATGCCAATCGCCATCACTTTCGGAACTTGTACTGAATAGAGATTTTCTTTTACGACTCTGAGCAACAACGCTGGTTCTATCACAATTCATTTCGTATTCCATTCTATTAATCAAATGCTCACTGTAGAGTGATGTCTATAGAGTGAAGGTGATGCTCTGTGCTGCAGGAGACAAAGTCAACGTGTGTTCGTCCTGTGGATCACTGTGGAAACTGTGGGGTGATTAATCTAATCGCCGAAGCTTCATTTATCTTTGAAATTCTATCCCCAGTAAACTGTAATATCAATAATATCAACATTATCTCAATAAAATGCTATGCGGGCTAGTGACTTTACAAGAATGTAATTTCAACTTCAACTATGTTCTCTGTTAATCCCCAATGTACCTTCTTGTATATATACATATATAAATAAATAATTTTTTGTTATTATATATAAGGGGTACCACCTCTGGTGCAAGTGTATGGACCCATATCCTCAGAGAAGAAAATAATGAGTACTCAGAGAAGACCTTGTGGATCCTTACTGAACATATTACCATATTACATAAGAAAGATAACAAACTGTAGATAAAAAAAAAATCAGCCCTAAGTTCATCTAATATCCCCATCTCACAGGATAGTTAGTCATGTATGGAAGGGGGAGAGAACACGAATGCCAGGAGGCTAATAATAATAATAATCGGGTGATGTATTAGCCTGCTCCAGCAGACTCTGGGTACAGCAGAGACCAGTTGAGAGGCGGGACCCCAGCTCATCCCCCGCAAGCACAACTAGGTGAGTACTGTTCATAGATGGCGCCGGCCGCCAGCTGTTGAAATCAGCATAATGGCGTTCTGAGTTAAATAATATGCCTGCTAGATTACCTTACCGTCTAGAAGTTATATGCTGGGCTACAAAGTTAACCCTGCCAATTGCTGTGCTGAATGTATACTATTTTCTGATACAGGAGCCTGTTAATGAGTGGTCAGAATTAAAGCAGCTGGGCGTACTCTGGCACCACTGTGGCGGAGGCGGCGCCACTGCCACACTTGTCATGGACTCCAGGCAGGCAGGTAAGGCGCTCTGAAGATCGGCTTTCTTTATGGAATTTTTAAGGTATTTGCTCATGAATTGTATTTAAAGGTGTTTTCATGGACATGCAAGTTTTCTGAGATTAATATTTCCTAATGTTTCTGACATATATATCTTAATCTCGGGACATTTTGATAAGATATTAATGTAGGAGGGAGCTTTGCTCGGGTCTGCCAGGCGTGACTTCTTAATAGAAAACGTTTATTGAATATAACTTTTTAAGGAGTAACTCTCACAGCGCTGTAAGCGATTACAACCTGATCGATCAATTCCAAATTTCGTTGGAACAGGCCTTGTTAGTAGACTAATCTCACAGCCTGTGTTTTTTGTTTAATTCCATGAATGACTAATCTTCCTGCGAAATATTAGATGAATTCATAGCAAGTTCTAGTAAATACTTGCATAGCATACACTTGCTCTATCTAGAAATCCAACATTCTGCTTGTAACTCATATTAGTATGTCTGTACTTTTCCCCTGAATAAACATCATCATTATATTGACCTACACTGTGTAATTTGGCACTGTAAAATACCACAAATCTCTGTTAACCTTTAAAGTACAACTGGAAAATATCATCAAGGCGATAGATGGGAGCCGGTCGGCCGAGTAGACAGCACGCGGGACTTGTGATCCTGTGGTCCTGGGTTCGATCCCAGGCGCCGGCGAGAAATAATGGGCAGAGTTTCTTTCACCCTATGTCCCTGTTACCTAGCAGTAAAATAGGTACCTGGGTGTTAGTCAGCTGTCACGGGCTGCTTCCTGGGGGTGGAGGCCTGGTCGAGGACCGGGCCGCGGGGACACTAAAAGCCCCGAAATCATCTCAAGAAGAAGGCAAATGTGGGGGACCTTCGTCAAGCCGCCGGCTTCCTGGCCCTCATCGAGGCCACTAGTGTTAGTGGCTCTCAGGTAAACTCACTTGAGGTAAAATTTCTCACAGATTAGGGCAGTAGTACGCCGCTGGGTGTACACCTGAATGGTTTAAGTATTTATAAAATAAATAAATAAATAAATGTTAATCAGGTAAGGTACATACATACAAGAGGTTTTACAAAAATTGATGGATATATAGATAGAGCTAGTACATACAATGCCTAAAGCCACTATTACGCAAAGCGTTTCGGGCAGGAAAAACATTAAAGACTAAAACTTAATACTAATTGAGAGTAAAGTATAAAATGTGTTGAGAACAATTAAAAATAAAAATAAAAATATTAAAAAGGGGGAACATGGCAGAAAAAGCAGCACAAATACAATTAGGTCGACAAACAGCGTTGTTTGACAAAAACAGACATGGGTTGACAATATAGGGTTCAGGTAGGTTACAGGGAATATATCTAACTTGTGACGGAGGAAGTAGCAAGACTGACCTAACATCAGGTAATGTTGATGTATTCCTCGCGTGGTGTTTACAGCGCTGGTGCTGCCCTCTACCTTAAGGTTACCTTAAGGTTACCTTGAGGTGATTCTGGGGCTTAACGACCCCGCGGCCCGGTCGTCGACCAGGCCTCCTCGTTGCTGGACTGGTCAACCAGGCTGTTGGACGCGGCTGCTCACAGCCTGACGTACGAGTCACAGCCTGGTTAATCAGGTAGCATGATCAACAGGTAGGCAACTCTATCTCTCTAGCAGGCGTGTGTGCCACCCCGTCCCCCCTAAGGTTCCCCAACGTCTAGAAACTCTCGTACTAAAGTGCCTTTATCCTAACCTACCAAGAGGACCCAAAACAAAAAACGGGACAGTATGTTAATTAATAATTCATTGTGTCGGGGGACAGGCAGCCAGTGTTATCATACACGTTAGGCTTACTTCGAGGTCCACCCCCCCCAAGGTGGAATTACTGACCCCGCCCAGGATCAGTAATTCGTATGATCAGCAACCCCGCAACAAGCTGACTAACTCCTGAGTACCTACTTACTGCTAGGTGAACAGGCGCAGTAGGTGAAAGTAAATATGCCTAACCATTTCTGTCCCGCCCGGGATTCCAGCCCGTTGTGTGTGTAAAGGTAATTTCTCTTTATGATCTGCTCTCAATTTGGGCATTGTTTATTCCTAAAGCTGTTTGAATAGTAGATTTATTTCCAAATAATATGTAGTGTGACTTGTCATTGTTAAGTGTTCGTTAGTAGTCAGCCACACGTGACCTTCTGTTAGTTCAGTATTTATTGCCTCAAGATAACGTGGTTAGGCTTTGAGAAAAGTTAAGTTTATACCATCGACAAATACTACTGGCCGGTTCAGACGCCCTTTCTGAACATTGTTTGTTCAGATATTGTATTTTCTTGAAAGTTCAGCATGTTTTGACCCTTCAATAATCTTCACGTGGGGGAAAATAATAATGCTGGCGATAAACTGCGTTGGTGATCGATGCGTTCTCAGCATTATACCTGGCTCTTAACTATGGGTCAGACCCCCCCCCACTAAACCGGTGCATTATAGAGAGGGAGGCTTCTTAAGCAAAGTGCAACCCTCTGGTACTAAGTCTGTGTACCATGATATACTGGATCAAGGTGCGATTCAGAGAGGACCGGACCCTTACTGGTCAGAGATCCCGGACTTGATCACTACAAAAACTCCTGTTGCACCACTGGACGTCGTCGACGACGGAGGACCTCAGCTGCTGTTCAGCAGTGCCACAGCATTACAGGATCTGTTCAGCCCCCACCATCCTCGCTGCTCTTGAGGAGGCGCACATGATCCTCACCCCTCCACGTCACTACCTAGCAGCCACGATGGTGTTTGTTCGGAGAGTGAGCTCCCTACTCTCTGAAAAAGCTGCCACCGACGTCATCACAGCATTAACGAGCAGAACCCTTCCTTGACCGCAATCACTGTTAAGTTCATTCCTGTAAACGACAGCCACCTCTCCGCCATGAAGGTCACCTTCACATCGCCTGAGGAAGCTACCTTTGCTGCTACCAACGGCTTCCGGTGCTTTGGTATCGCCAGTACACCTCGACAGATCAGCAAAGAACACTATTACAGGCTTCGACAGTGCTACAAGTGCTATAGCTACGAGCTCTTCTCAAAGAATTGTATATCTCAGGATCAACGGTGCGGCAAGTGCGCCGAGAACCACCACTTCAAAGACTGCACCAACGACAGTCTTCACTGCCTTCTCTGTCAAGGTGAACATTCTGCCGTCTCCGCTGAGTGCCCCCGAAGACGTGAAGAAATACAGAAGATGTCCGATGCCAGGCAGACCAGCACCACTAGCCGTGCACCATCAAATTTCAACGCGCAAGCCGCCAACTTCCCTGAGCTTCTGCACAGCCTGCAAGCCAATGGGGGCCTGGCTCCCAGTCCGCTAACCAATCTTCGACTCAGCCGCAACTGCCACAACCTCTCTCTGGCCAATCAACAAGCCAGCCTTCACCACACCAGTTGCTGGCCCCCCAACATCGATCATAGTACTATCTTCGGACTCTTACGCCTGGCTGAAATAATGGCAGACACGAACTACAAAGAATTCGTGCGACATTTAAACATACTATACGCTGCCAATGGTCTACCAACATTTAATGTTCCTGAAGAACCCTTCACAACTACAGCTTCAGCCACTTTCACTGCTACAACTTCAGCTACTAATACTACTTCAACCTCTGATATCACCATCTCTCCAGTTGCACTGGCAGATCTGTCTACTGACGCCCATCCTCTGCAACATGCTACAGGTTTTGCTACAGATCCTGCAACATCTATGCACACTGTCACCCCAGACCAGCCATCTACTACTCCAGTTGTACCTGTGACTACACCAGCTTCACCGGCATCCACACCTGATGCTTCTGCAGACCTCCACCTGTCTTCTGATGAAGACTCTATTGCCTCTGTGGACGTTGAAGACTCGACGCCTCCCACTCGAGGGACATCGATACCCAACTCACCAGAGGCACTACACCTGTTTGGGCAACGTGCAAACTATGCTTATGGATCTCCAGAATTTAGAAGAGTTTCCAGCCACTACTTCAACAAGGTCTACGATGATCACTACCAAATAGACCCAAAACTCTGCTTGTTCCTGCACCTACCATCATTTCTGAGAGCGACAACTCCACCCTTCTACCACACCTCCTCCTTCCTGAACTTGATGAACTAAAGGAACTATTCGAACTGCACATGATGACTACACGAAGCAAAAAGAAGAAAGAAATTTGAAAAAAGTGAAGAAAGAAGAATGAAGAAAGAAGATTCAAGAAAAAAGACACCACCAGAATACAGAATGTCACCACCTGGAAGAAAGAAGCACTGCCACTGCCACCCTTCCTGACCCGACTCAACGCCTAGCCAGTTGTGGAGTTGCTCCAGCATCGACTCAAGACACGCAGCTTGGTCAAGCCCTGGCACTTTCTCTACAACTTCAGCACTTCCTCTCACCGACTTCTCTTCAGTTGTCCCAACTTCAAGGTTCTCCCTAATGGGTATCTTATCTTATACTTTATTGATTGATTGATAGGGATGTTGACCTTCACACATAAGAAATCTTAAAGGGCATATGAACCAATGAAAACATTATTTTCAGATCATAAATGTTTGGGACGTCGAGTCCTTGCCTTGTGTGTAAAATAACTGAGTTCTGCCTGGCATACAAAGATGCTCTTCATAGCTTCGTTTTTCTTTTACTAGACCCACCGGCCACTAGAACAGGTCCGGCATATTCTGACAGCTCTAATATATACATGGTACATCACATTTGCAACTCGAACTTGTAATTATCTGTTAGATTATGGACTTGCCCGAAACGCTATGCGTGTTAGTGTCTTTGCAAGAATGTAAAAACATTAATGTTATGTATTCCCACAAACCCAATGTACCTTCTTGTATATATATAAATAAATACAAAATAAATAACATGTTGAGCCTTAGCAGGAGGCGACAGCCCACCACAACATTGAGAGCCGTGAGCCCCTCTCAACACTGACGAATCAGTCTGATTATAACGAGGCTACTGGGACCTCAAGGCCAAGGAATTTATCATTATA